AGTGAACACAGCGCAGAGGAACTGCACTGTTCCCAGGCCAGCGAGACCCAGGGGGCCCCTCTCACCTTAAATCCAAACTGATAAAGGTCACTCTGGACACCAGCAGAAGCGGGGAGTTAGTCTTGGCTACAGGGTCAAGGTAGCCTGCTGTCACTTCACCTCCATCAAAACAGCTAGCTTAGGAGCTGGAGAGGTGGCTCAGATGTTCTATCAGAGGGTCCAGATTCGGTTCCTAGCACCCACGCGGGAGCTCACAAGCCTCTGTAGCTCTAGTCCCAGGAGATCCAAAACCTTCTTCTGGCCTCTGTGAGAACCAGGCAGTGTGTGGTGCACAGACACACATGCAGGCAGAACACCCATATGTATAAAAAAGAAATCTCTAGAAAAAACAGCCAGTTGAGTCAGGAAAAAATCAGAAAGTGGATGGCTCACTCCAGGAGCTACGTGTGACTGAACACGTGAGTGAGTCCATGCAGCCTGGAGTCCAGGATTCCCAGCTAATTCCACTTCTTCTTTTAGAAACACAATCCCAAAACATGCGGTGTCCTGGCAGAGTGGGGTAGACCCGTTCTGTTTTTAAAAGTCTCTCGAGGAGGGAAAGATGACAGGCAGGAATTCCCTAGCCAACCAATGTATCTCCATCTGAGACAAACTGAGAGGTGAGCATGAAGATGTCCCCGGGATTTGAACACAGAAAGCGCATCACCCAAGCCACACTCCTAGGAAAGAATATTTCAGAATGTGTCTCAATCCTCTGAGAAACAGCTCAACACTAAGGATTCACAAAAGGATACGGAAGAAGACAAGAGACCAAAGCGGACTTGAGTGTGAGGGAAAAGTTCCTCATCAGAAGAGGTTCTGTGTAAAAAAAAAAAAAAAAAAAAAAACACTAATAAAAACGGAAAACATACCAAACAAAAATCCTTAATAAAAAAAAAAAAAAAAAAAAAAAAAAAAAAACAGCAGAGGAGCTGGGAAAAATGGCTCAGTTTAAAGTGCTTGCCCCACAAGTATGGGGATCTGAGTTCAGATCCTGACACCCACATAGCAAAGCTAGGCATAGTATACAGTGTCATTGCTGGGAAGGGGAGAGGAGGATCCCTGGGGCCCACAGGCCGGCCAGTCTCAACCCATAGCTGAACTGGTGAGATACAGGGTCAGTAAGAGACCTTGTCTCAGAATAATAGTGATAATGATGATGGTGATGGTGATGATGATAATGTGGTAACGACAGATAAAGTAGAAAATTATTGAAGATGTCTAATGTCTGCACATACATGTTTGTACCCATGCACATACACACACACACACACACACACACACACACACAGCTTAATGGTTAAGCTCTCATTTGATTAACAAGTTAAGCAGTGGGTAGAGACATGAAAAAGTCAAGGTAAAGTGTAACGCACAGCTTCCGCAGTCTGCCAAGGTTGCAAACTGCCGTGTTTACCAAAGCCAGCCTTCGGGAACACAGAGCTCATTTAAAACAGAGTGTCTGACGGAAGATGGCATGCCCGTGTCAAGTTAACCTTTTCTGTTTATTTACTTTGTGTACGTACGTGGTGGCGGAAGACACAGGCGCCACAACGCAAGCGTGAAGGTCAGAGGGCAACTCCTGGGGGAGCAGGTTTTGTCCTTTCAATAAGTGGTCCTCCTGGAAGTCACACTCAAGTTGTCAGTCTCGGTGGCAAGTGCCTTTGCCAAATAAACCGTCTCACCAGCCCCAAATTTCTGGAATATTATGTGTTCATAATAACTCACTGCATTTAAACATGGTCTTGATTGTTTGTCTATTTCTTTTGTTTTGTTTGAGGTGGGATCTCTCTATGTAGCCCTGGCTGTCCTGGAACTCTTTATGTGGACCAGCTGGCCTCTAGCTCACAAAGCTCTGCCTGCTTCTGCCTCCCAAGTGCTGGGATTAAAGGCGTGTGCCGCTACATGCAGCCCCTAGTCTTGATTTTTGAAATCTCAGAAAATGAAGAATTCAAAGACCTTTAAAAAAAAAACATGGAGAAGAAGCCAACAGCCAAATTACAAGTTGTAAAGCCCCATTAAAATCAGCTCTAAGAATAGCCCTAACAACCACCGCTTAATTACTGCCTATAAAGGGCCAGGTGTGGACAGGTTCCCAGGAGGCGTTACTTCATCCCCCAGCGATGCACTTGACAGATGAGGAAACCAAGACTTAGGAGGATCATGTGGAGACATCCTGAATCTTAATAAGGCAAACCTAAGCGGAGGGTGGACCCAGTTCCTCAATGGGCTTTTAATTGTCTTTCTACTATGTGCCAATCACACGTGCTCAGGTAAGAGAAAGAGCAGTGTAGGACATAGGAAGGGAAACTGAGATGCCCACAGGGCCATCAGCAGAGGCCTTGAAACAAAGCCAGGGAAGGTGGGACCAAGAGGGGGTTGGGAGCTTAGGAGAGTCTCTGGGGGGGGGGAAGGGGTCCAGAGACATGTTCTTTTGCTTGGGAAAGTAGGGATAAGTGAGTGGATGGATGTGTGGATAGGTGTGCACCTGTGAACATACACATGTGAGGGTCAGAGGTGACTCTGGGTGTCTTCCTCAATTGTTTCCTCACTCTAATTTATTTTATTTTTATTATCATTATTTTTATTGTTCTTCAAGACCAGGTTTCTCTGTAGTTTTTGAGCTTGTCCTGGAGCTAGCTCTGTAGACAAGGCTAGCCCTGAACTCACAGAGATCTGCCTGCCTCTGCCTCTGCCTCCCGAGTGCTGGGATTAAAGGTGTGCGCCACCACCGCCTGGCTGGCTTTTTTTTGTTTTTGTTTTTGTTTTTGTTTTTGTTTTTGTTTTTCCACACTCTAATTTTTGAGATGGGATCTCTCACTGAATCTGAAACTCACTTCTTGGTTAGACTGACCCCAAAGATCCTTCTGTCTCCATTTTCCCAGCTCTCACATTTCAGGCACACATCCTTTGGGATCCAAACTCAGGTCCTCTGTTCTGTGGGAAGCACTTTCGCCCCGATGTATGTTCTTGAGAACTGGAGGCTGAGGTGTGTGGGAAGGCATGAAGAATGCCGACAGGCTGCTGACATCTCTAGTTTGGTGGACAACCACTGTGGAGGGGAACAAGACACTCTGAGGAGTCAAAATAAGGACATCAGCAAAAGTTAGCACAAACAGGGGAGGGCTCTGAGAGCCGGTGGGACAGAAGCTCAGCCTGAAGGGACATGCCAGCTGGGCAAGCAGGGAAGCCCCAGCCGTGGAGTCTGGCATCGTAGCCACATTCTGCAGTGTTTCCAAACAGCAAAGGTAGAAGGAACGCACAGGCCATCTGTAGAGATGGTTACCTTATGGTACAAACCAGCTTCGTATAGGGTGCTCTTTAGATACTTGGGGAAATGCAGCCGCAAAGGCAAAACTGGATCCGAACTGAACCATACAAGGTGGCCATGTGGCCAGGTTCGAATAGGTCACATGACACCTTTTTCACAAGCTGCCCCCTAACACATAGTGGGATCTCATTCACGATTTCTAAAATAAAAACAAAGTGTGTGTGTGTGTGTGTGTATGTGTGTGTGTGTGTGTGTGTGTGTGTGTGTGTGTGTGTGTTTGTACACACGACAGGGGCAGCTGAGGTGGGGGTGGAATGAGCAAGACCACTTTATTCATTTCTACTAGCTTTTTTGATTAGCATATGCTAATTATATGTGACAGGCGTCATCAGGACATTTTCATACATGAGTATAAAGTATTTTTGTCCTATTTGCCCTCCCTTTCCTTCTTGTCCCACCTCCAACTGATTCCCTTTCTCTCTCAGCTAGCCCTCTCTGCTTTCATATTCGCTTGTCGGCAGTGCTTTGAATGACCCAATCACTTCATTTTCACTTTAACAACACGGAAGCTAGACAAGAAGGAAGACATAGGCCTGAAAAGACGCCCTATGGCTGACCCCTCCCCATGTAAATTGTGTGTGTGTACGTGCGTGTGTTTGTGTGTGTGTGTGTGGAGGTGAGAGGAAGGGTGAATGTTTACCCACAATCATGCCAAGTATGCACCTGGTGCGTTGGGTGGAAGGTGGGGGGGGGTCAGAGGACAACCTCTGGTGTTTATGTGTGCCTTCTACCTCTTTTAAGACGTTTATTGTTCTTGCTTCCTGCACCAGACTGGCTGGCACGTGACCTGGGGATTCTGTCTCTGCTCCCCACCTAGTCACAGAGCCCTGGGATCACAATCACAAGCTATCATGAGTTCTGGGGATCTGAACTCAGGTCCTCACACTTGCATGGCGAATACTTGCCCCACTGAACCATCTTTCCGGATGAGATCAGTCAGATATAAGAACAGGATCTCTGGCCTTAAGACTCCATTCTTTTCCAGTCTAACGTGACTTAAGGTCAGTGTTGTTTTCAGCCTTCCCTGTGACTCAGGGTCACCTCCATCCACCAAGTCACCCATGTCTTTACACAGAACCCTCTTCATTGACAACCACTGAAGCACCTGCCCCCAACAAGGAGACCCCAGCTGGCGGGTGGGGGTGCAGTTGGGGGCGGGGACTCTTAATGCCCCACTGTTTAGAATGGATTAAGCATTCACTTTTATCTGGATTATTATTTTTTCCCATGAATATAAGCCATTTTGCATTTTGGAGCCCTTCTGCAAACAGAGCAGTTTGTCTTTGTGTTTTCTCATTTAAAAACAAATATTTGCCTGCCAAGCAAATACTGTCTCTTAGGATGTGCTATTAATAGGATAATTAGGCAGCCGGTAATGAAAAGGATTGCTGGTAATTATGGCAAGATTTGTTTTGGCATTTGAAGGCAGCAATAGAGGCTGGAGTGCTAAAATCTACCTTAGAGTTAATTAGCACAATTAGAACACACCTGAAAAAATAGCCCAGCTAACAACACTTGCTTTTAAAGTGACAGCACCTAGCACTCCCCAGGCTGTGTGGGCAGTGCCCCACCCCCCAGGCGTTTCTAAGGTAACAGTGTGGGACACAAGATAGAATCTGCCTAACCTTTGTCTCCAAGGCACCCCTTCTCTGTGGCCATTTCTTGTCTCCAGGTCCCACCCATCACCCGTTCTCTGATCTGTAAGTCATTTCTCCCTAGGGGTTCCTAACTCTCCCCAGCTAGATATGGTTGTGTTCTTTCTCTCATCTTTCAGATAAGGAAATTGAGGATCAGAGACACCCACGGTGTCCAAGGTCACAGCAAAATCAGAGGTTATACGTGGGGTGAGGGGTCACAGAAAAGGTCAGAAGTAAAAGCCTACATCCAAGAAATATTAAGGAACAGATGACTCAGGGAAAAAAAAAAAAAAAAGGAAAAGAGGGACTTTTGGTTCCTGCTGGGATCCCTGGTACTGGTCTTGCTGAGTCACTCATGAGTGACGTAGGACCTCAGATCCTCCGACCTGCAGCCTTGCTCAGTGTCACCAGTAATACGATGCACCTGAAAGATAGAAAAGACTTGGTTAGGAAAGATTCTCCGCTGGGAGTGTAGCTTAATGGAAGAGCACTTGTCTGGCATGTACAGGCCCTGGATCTGGTTCCCAGTATCGCCAAAAGAAGGGATTCTGTCAAGTCGGCTTTCCCATCAACCCTTTCGTGGGTCATTCTTGGCAAGACTTCCCGCGGCAGCCAGGTGGATGCTGGGGAACCAGGGAAGGCATCTCATGTGTGTGGGTTTGCATGCACATGACTTCGAATAGGTGCACACGTGTACACATACTCAGCATAGGGAAGCGCATTAAGGAAACAGCACTGGGCATGCTGATGCATATTTGCGATCCCAGCAACCAGCATCTGGTTGGGGCCAGACTGGTCTGCGGGTAAGGGGCCAGAGGAAGAAAGAAAGAGGAGGAAGGGGAGGAAGACAGCCAATCTAAGGAGAGCTCTGAAATCACAAACAAGTCATTCAGGATCTTTAAAGTCTGCGCGCCCTCATCCCTCAAACAGGAATAAAACGACTCTCGGCCTCCTCAGGTTGTCCTTGTAAATCCACCAGGAGACAGTGAGGCAGAGCTCACAGTTTGGCTGCCCATCATACTCGTAACTAACACCACTGTGGACCTCACCTTGGGTGTCCGGTCGACACTCAAGTTACCCTTACGTGGGGAGGGGGAGCTGGAGAATCTGGGAGAGCACACCTTACATCCTTCTGGGATCTGTCAACCCTATTCTCAACACAAGGTCAATACTGAGTCGTGAAATCCCCTGAGAGAGAGGGAGGAGGAGGCGGAGCACACTTGAGGTTTTCAGCTGTGGCCAGCACTGTCTGCAACAGTATTCCCTCTCAGTTGTAAACAATAACAGAATCCATTTGCACCATGCTATTGTACTTTCAGACTTTGTGTCTCGTTTTAAGAGCAGCAACAGAAGATGTTTTCTCATCATTGTTCCAAGATGACAGACACTGGGGCTCAGAGAGGCTAGGTAACAAGTCCTTGGCCACACAGCAAAGATGAAATCTGACCTCACTGGCCCCAAACCCAGACTCATTTCATTGATCATGAACTTAAGGATTTGGGGTCATAACACACAAGTTTCCCAGTAACTGTCAAACCTCTCTACCAATACCCCATAGCTACTATGTATTAGGAAGGATCGAAAGAAAAATTCTGTTTTGTAAACAGAGCTCAAAGGAGAAAACCTCTCACATTAAAATATGAAATCTGTGTCCCAGGCAGTAGCTGGATTTGCACTGATTAATTAGAAAATTGCATTTATATAACCCCTTAATCTGTATTTATGTGTTGCTAAGGGTGCAGCGAGCTGGGCAGGGAATTACACCCAGATTAGCCTTGATCTGTAAGCAGCCTAGATGGAAGCTGCTTTCCTCCAGGAATGGGGAAAATCAAAGGATTTGGGGCAAAGAACCCTGGTGAGGACCCCTTCTCCCATGCTGCATTGAACCTAAGTCTCCAGGGCCTCTAAGTGCAACCCAGCATCCTTCACGCCGCCTCCCTGGTCCAAAGGAGAACAGAGACTACTCACAGAGTTCATTTCAAGCTAAGTGCAGCCTCTGGTTTCCTAAACAAAATTGGTTTTATTTTTCTCAACATGTGCTCAGCAAGATTAAAGTTCCATCCACTGTGAGGCTTAGCTTTTTTCGAAGTGGTTCGTGCCACCACAAGAGGAAGGGGGAGGTAGTGTGAGCTGGACCTGAAATCCTGTTTATTGAATCCAAAAAAAAAAAAAGATCTCTTAATGAATAAAGGATATTGAAGTGGGATCCCTGGTGCTTTTTGACATTTCAGGGAGAGGTGTTTTAAAACCACAATAAATCATTGCAAGGTATTTCCTTTGATTGTTGCACTTTTATTATTATTATTATTATGTTGTTGTTGTTGTTGTTGTGTGTTGTGTATATATGTATGAACAAGCCCTAGATAGCCTCTGTCTCTGCCTCCCCAGCACATACCACAGTGCCTAGCTCTTTATGTGGGTGCTAGGAATTCAAACGCAGGTCCTCATCTCTTTGTGTACCAAGCCCTTCACCAACTGAGCCACCCCATCTCCTTTATTTTATTTCTTCTCCTCCTTCTACTTTTTGCTCTGCCAGCAGATGAACAGATGAACATCAGTGGAGAGCGATGCGGCGTCTCCACCCTTCAGCGTGAGAGGCAGTCTAACTTTGTGGGTTCAAGGAATAACATGGGGTATGGGCTGCCCAAAGAGCCAGGTAGCCAAACTGGACTTCCAGGTGCCTTTGGGGAAGAACTCAGTGTCACTGGAGTTGTTAGGCTCCAGGACAAGGACCCTCTAGGAAGTTCCATCGCACTGAGCGGAGTCTAGTGTGGTTTCAGGTACAGACCTTGACTAGCTTGTCACTGACTCGATCCTATCCCCATCTGTCCTGTTGAAGAGAGGAGCAAAAGGACTATATAGCCTTGCTTTTAAGAAGGCTTAAGGACTCCCTAAGCAGTGAAAAGCTTCTCCAGGGCTTTCTCAGGCTCCTCAGGACAGCAGCTTGTGGCTTTCCAGTAGAGGGTCTCTAGTCATCCTGGTGGCAGAAGCCTCCCCTGCCTGCACTGCTCAGGAGGCCTGCAGCCCCGCCATTCTCCGTCCTGTCTCCTCCTCTTCCCTCTTGGGATGATGATGTCAGCAAGGACATGGCAGAGCTGACTTGAGAAAAGGAAGGGTAACTCTGTGCCAGTTTGGTAGCACAGCACCTGGGAGGGGCGACTCCTCCATCCCCTGCAGCCCGTGAGCTCACTCCCTGACTGCCAGCCACAAGCCACCCACCCAGGGTGACTCACTGTGCCTGAAGGTGCATACCTTGGATAGCTCTTGTTTGCACCTCTTGACATGTGCCTGGCTGGGCTCTCAGACCCGCACCAGGCATTCCAAAAGGAGGTGTAGGCCGATGAACCACTCCCCGCTTCCACACTGAGTTCTTCCTGTTCAGCTGTTTCAGCTGACCGTCAGTGATGGTTACCCCAGAGCCGACATGCCCAGTACACTCACACACCCACGCTTCCCTTGGGTGCTTCACAAAGAAAGTATACATTCTGTTTTCGAGGAGCCTCACGGCACCTCCAAGTTGTGGCAAATGTCCCTAGGATGTCAAGGAGGCAGAGGGACTATTTCTTCGGCAGGTGTAAGCAGGTGGTCATTCTGGAAAAAAAGTCCAGGATGCCAAATTCCACCTGACTGACCTGCCTGCCCCCACCCCCTTTGAAGTCAGAGTGTGGTGCTAAGCCACCCTTTCACTTGGTGGAGCTTTGGTCCCCAAAAAGCTAATGGGTGGGAGAGGTCTGGTTGAAAACCATTAGGGATTATGGCTGTTGCTATGGGGCCAATGGTGAGCGGCACTCACCTATGTGTGAAAGGCCTTGAGAGGCCCTTCAGCTGGGGAATGAGGCTGTTCAAGCTCACTTGCTCAATTGGCACAGCCCGCTTGCCCTGTGACCCTCTTTCTGGCCTTTTCCCACACTGGAAGTGAACCTCTGATTGCCCTTCTTCCAACACAGGCCTCCTTTCCAGGCAACCATGAGAAACACCCAGCAGCTGACCTAGGAAGCGGCTTCCAATCTTCATTTCTTGGCCTGAGGGAGAAAGAAAAGAATCCCAGAAAAAGAGCCCATGGCCCCTGATGTGTGCATCTGGAATGGAGGTGAGATGCGGTTCCAGGAAAGATCTGGGAAGCCAAGCATGAATTACTTCCTAAAAATAAATAAATCAGAGGTCACCCTGAAAAGCAGGTTGTATTATGTTATTTGAACAAGGCTGCTGGACATCTGGACGTTTTGGGGAGCTCCCATTCCTCCTGTCTCCATAAATTGAAGCTAATCCTGCGGGGCCAGGGATCATAAGAGTAATCCTCACATCTGTGTGGGCTTTGCGGCTTTTGAAAGCTCATCCATGGAATTATCTCATTAGTCCCACTCCATGCCTAGGGCAGGGACTCGGGGACAAGCATCACCATTTAGCAAATAGGATGCTAAGACTCAGAGAAAGGAAGTGACTTCCTCAAGGTCACACAGCAAGCCAGATGTCCTCACAGTTTCTCCTGACAGCATCCCAGGACCATCCCCTGAGTACAGTTCCACGGAGACCCAGAAATATACCCCTTTGCCACAGTCTCAAAGCTCAGGGCTCTGCCTGGCCTGAAGAAGTCATGGCCTTGTGTGAAAATAGGATATAGACAGAAAGATTGCGATGACCTATGACCTTCACAGTCAGATTGCCCAGCCTCTAAGTCAGCTTAAGCTTCCTGGTCACCAGGCCTCAGACAATGTGGTTGGTTCCCTGTGCCGTCTCCTCATCCATGAAAGGATGATAACCCTACCTAGCATCACCTTCCTGGTGATGGTTCTTCATCTTTTGAGAACTGTCCCTCAGTCAGCTCCAGCCATGAGGCTATGCGTGCATCTTGCCACTATTGCATCAGCTGGAGCAGACATGGGGCCCCACCAGATTGCCTGACACTCCTTGAGGTGAAAGAAGGCTTTTCTGGTGGGAGTGAGGATGATCAGGTGACCCCAGCCTCATGGAGTCACGTGCGACCTGAGGCACGGGAACTGGTGTGCAGAAAGCAGCAGGCAAAAGTCCTGGGGATGTGCACCCGAGGGCAGGGGGTGGGTCACAGGAACCTCTGGTGGCTTCTAGAGACACACCTTAGGGCTCGGGCTTTCTTGAATGCAGAGCAAATAGAAAGTAACACCTCTGCTGCGCACTTTGAGGGTCCCGCAAAAGCAAGTGATGACCCAAGAGATACCCCAAGCAGCACTCAAAATAAAGAGGAAAGGTCTTCACTGACTCCAAGAAGCTCAGGGATCACAAGAGAGGAAGACTGGGGCTCCCGTTGGACACAAGGCTGGGAGGGTCCTCTTCATGAATTTGAATTGGGAATTCTAAATGTTTATCCCTAGTTAGGAAGAGTAGGGACACAGGGCTCAGGGGCCCTGGCTCCTGGGCTGGCACTCTGTACCCTGCCTTTACCCTGCTCTGGCTCTTACACTCTGTGTCTGTCTGTCTGTCGTCCGTCTGTCACATGTGTGCAGGTGCCTCTGGAGACTGAAAGAAGGCTTTGGAATTAGAGGTGTTTGTGAGCCTTCTGTTGTAGCTGTTGGAAACTGGAGTGGGGTCCCCTGGAGGATCAGTAAGTGCTTTTAACTACAGAGCCATCACTCCATCCCCACCTCCTTATTCCTTTGAGGCAGTCTGTCTTTGAACCTGGAGCTCGGCTTGCCAGCTAGTTCCAGACATCCCCTTTTCTCTGTCTCCCACTGCACCGGAATAGTAGGCACGTGTGGCCATGCCTAGTTTTTGCTGTGAATGTTGGGATGAGAACTCAGGTGCCTATGCTCGCAAGAGTTTGTTGTCCACTGAGCCATCTCTTGGCCCTGGTTTTCACACTTTGAGAATAAAAGGGAGGCAGCTGAATCTGTTCTGTGTTCTCAGATGAGGTTGTGAAGATGAAGCAGGATGGTGAAATACATCGGTGAGAGGTTTGAAGTCTATAGTCCAAAACCAAAAGATTGATGTTATCATGAAATCATGGATTTGAGATTCCCTACACACAAAGAAGGAAGAGAAAGGAAGAGAAGGAAAGAGGGTGGGGAGGAGGGTTGGGGAACGGGAGGGAATGAAAAAAGAGGTAGAAAGTAAACTGAGGCACAGCCATCTCCCAGTGAGTACCGTCCAGTAACCAACAATGCAGTGTTCTGTCTCTGATGTCTACCCATGGACTCCCAGCTGCCAGCACCTGTGAAATACAGCAAAGACCAACTGTCTTCAGTTGCGGTGGCATGAGTCGAGGCCCCGTTATGCTTGCTGCATTGTCTGTAATCTCTAGCATAGAGAGAAGCAACTGGGGTGGGGGCAGGGCGGGCAGGATCTGAGGACAGGCTCAGCACTTCACGCGTTGTCCTTCCAGGATGGCCGTCCATCTGGTTGCCGTGACTGAGGACTTCCTGAGCCAACAGATAGCTAGCGAGGCCCCCAGCTTTCACATGGGAACCGTGTTTCTTTACACACATGACTCACCTGCTCTTAAAACCTCTATTCCCGCTCTGACCCCAGGGCCTGGCATGTGCACAGCCTCCTTCAAACACAACCCCCAGCCTCCATCCCTGTCCATGGTTCTGAAGTGTCTGTTTTTCCCTGCAAAGGGAAAGGCTACCTAGGTCTTCATTCAACAGATGTCTTTAGTAGAGAGCTCTGACTACACAGTGGCTTGAGGCTTACTAGCTGAAATTTTATTATTTCTTATGCTTCTGTGAGATGTCCATATGATGGTCTGGACAGACATCTGTGGTCAGCTAATGCTCTGACTTGGCCTGGATTGTCTAGTACAACCTCACTGATAAGTCTGGTGACTGACAGGCCATTGGCTAGAGCAGTTCTGTCAGCCATCCCTACAGTCCCTCCGGCACATCATCCTGAACTTATTTGTGTGAAGGACACAGGATGCTAGGCTTTCAAGATATGGTGACTTGAATGAGATGTCCTCCTCAGTCTTGGACATTTAGATAATTGGGCAGTGCTCTTCAGGAGGTTTAAGAGGTGTGGCCTTGTCAGAGTAAGCACATCACTAGGGTGTGGGCTTTGAGATTTCAAAACCTCACTCTGTTCCCAACCCTCTCTCTGCTTCCTGCTTGCCATTCAAGTCAGACACCATGCCTGCTGCCTCCCTGCCATGATGGACTGTTATCCCTCTGGAACCATAAGCTCAAATAAACAAAATAAGTTAAAGTTTCCTTGGCCACAGTGTTTTGGTTTTAATTTTTGATTTTACTTTTTGTTTTGGTTTTTCTTGTTTGTTTGGTTTTTGTTTTGTATTTTTTGTTGTTTGTTTTTTAAGACAGGGATTCTCTATGTATCAGGCCTCACTGTCCTGGAACACAAGCTGTAGACCAGAATGACCTCAAACTCATAGAGATGCACCTGCCTCCCAAGTTCTGGGATTAAAGGCATGCTCCACCATGCCCGGTGGTCCCAGTGTTTTATTATAGCAACAGAAAAGAAACTAATGCAAGAAAAAGTAAGCCTGGAGGTTCTCTCCTTTAAAAATGTTTATTGAATTTTGATTACTGATTTTGTATTTGTGTGTATGTATGTATGCAAGTATGTATGTATATGTGTGTGTCTGTATGTATGTATGTGGGTGCACATGTACCTCAGCATGTATGTGGAAGTCAGAGGACAATTTGTGGGAATTGATTTTCTCCTTCTTCCATGTAGATCTCAGGGACTGAATGAATGAAGGTCATCAGGCTTGGTAGAAAGTACCTTTATCCACTGAGTCATTGAGCGACCCTCATAGGTTCTTTCCGTAGGTCTGTGACATATTTTCAATGAGACTCGAGTCAGCGTGGGAGGGCCTGAAGACAGACGGAGAGATGGCCATCGCCATCATTCAACTATTTCTCTAGTTTATCCTACCTCTTCAAAGCACCACAGGCTGCAAATGATGGGATGTCCCTCTGCTGAACCTGGGGGGAGTAACTTCACTCCTGAGAGTGTTTGAGCCAAGAGGCCTCTGCCAAAAATCACTTTCATAATTGCATCAGGAATGATCAAGCCTTCCAACATCCAGGCCTTGCACTTCCAGTTCTTGCTGCATCAGAGAAAATTTTCAAGACTGCTAAATGAACAAATCCCCTGCTGAATCACACCCCTTCTCCACAGTCATCAGCAACTGTGTATGTTACGTGAGCATGGTGAGCGATGGAGTTTCAGATCCCTTCTTGGATGAAAACTGAAAAGTTCCAGAGCAGCATCCTCTGTCCCCAAGTCTACAGAAGGGGTGACATCCTCAGGATGGCCTACTATAGCGCCCTATAATCAATACTCACCCCTCCAATAATATCTTCTCTGCCTCATGGAGAAAGAATCTGGGGTGGGGAGGATTCCTGGCAAGAATTACAATTCAGGTATTCAGGGCTGATGAGATGGTTTGATGGGTACAAGTTCTTACCGCCAAGCTGGCAAACTGAGTTCCATTCTCCAGAACTTATGTTGTAGAAGAGAACTGGCCATTAAAAACTGTCCTCTAACCCACACATGCAGTGTGGCATGGACACAGCTCTCTCCCTGCCTATCTCCCACGAGTGAGTAAGTGCAAATTCTTAGTTTAGACTTTTTAAGTAAATGCAAAGTCAGGGTTCTTCTCACACAGCCCATCACTGTGGAGAGGCAGAACATTTAAACCTAGGGCCTAGACACAGTTCTTTAATTCCAACTATGTTTCTAGCTCCTGTGTGACCTTCAGATACTCCTCTGTGTGTGTGTGTGTGTGTGTGTGTGTGTGCGCGCGCGTGCGCTCACATGTGTGTGTGTGTGTTCATGTGTGGGAATCCATGTTCACATATGTGGATACACTAGACCTGATTGCAGCCTTGGGAATTGCCCCTCAGTCGTTGTCCACCTTGTCCCTTTGAGATGGGTCTCTCCCTGGTCTGAAACGTACCAAGTGGGCTGTGCCGACTGTCTAGTGAGCCCCAGGGGTCTGCCCAACTCTGTCTCCCTGGTTCTGGAACTACAAACATGTGCCACCTCCATCTGGCTTTTTTTAAACATAGGTCTCAGAGCTGAACTCAGGTTCTTGTGCCGGCAAGGCACACACTTTACCAACTATCTGCCCTGTCCCAATCATTCTTATTAACAATCATCATCTTTAGCAGAAATAAAGAAATGATGAGCTGGCCATGGTGGCGCACGCCTTTAGTCCCAGC